AGATTCAAAATATTGTAACACGAAAATTATTGTTGCACCTCCGAGCATAACTTTCAAATTTATGAAATGAAAATTTGAGACAAATTTTTTTTTTTAGATTAATAGACTCCATTTTTAAAGCTGAATTGAATGATGGCGGGTTTTTTAAAATCCAATGTGTGGATCACATAATATTTCAAAAATTTTAACTTTTGAGTATAGATGATCCGCATTGTAAATTTCGACTAGCTCACATCTATCATATCTAAATTTGGCGATATGAAACCTAAAATCACGTGAAGTACTACACAGTGAGTCTCGGTATAGGGACTCGGTATAACGGATTTGAAGGTTTAGCGGATAAATTCTCAAAACCAAATTTTTCTATAATTATTATAATATAATATTAATTAGAGGTTGGAATTCGTTTTTTTAAAGGTCTTCTGAAACCACCGCTTAAATCATTGGAACTTGAAGCCAATGAACTATTGGACCTTGTATTGGAAGTGTTTATTCATTCACGTGTAAAATTATCATCAACAACACACTACTATTGTCTCATCATCATATTGATGGTATTAATAATACTCTTCCGCATAAAAATTTTCCATTTTGAATAGAAAAACATAATTGGTCGGGCAATAAAAATATTAGCATAGTATTAGTAGTATTAGTAGTCGACTATTAGTTGTTCAAAAAAAGTTTAGTCGACTATTTTAATCGTTTCCAACCTCTAATATTATTATGTTGATCATGTCGTGTTGTATTTTTTATCATTTCTGTTTAATTATTTTGTAAAAAATCTGTGTATTTTTTCCATGTGTTTTCAGTATATTTTCAGTATAAAATTTTTTTATAGAACAAGTTATAATTACATAAATAAAATATCCTACAATAAAAAAAATCATATAGTGTAATGGATAAGATGCGAAAATTGGTACAGAGGTTAAGTGGTTCAATCCTTCAAAGAAAATAAAAAATAAAAAAGCCGAGTTTCGAATGCGTAAGAATTCTAATAATGGAAAAACAGAGTGTAATCATGGAATAAATTTTTTACGGGGTTGAGATCGTTTTAGCATGAAAAGACAGAGTACATCAAGAGCTTTCAGAAAATATATGGTTTGTATGGGTTTATTGGAGAAGGAAGAAATTAAAGGTTTTATAAGTTATTTATTATAAGAACTTTTCAACATTTTTTTTTCACATTATTTGTTTTCTAACTTTTGTTACAGTATATTAATAATGATTAGACAATATATGAAGATACAATCTTTTAATTGGAGTTTCTACTCAAGAGGTTACAAAAGAAAAAATATTTTAATATATTAATAAATCAATAATTATTAATATGGAGATAATAATCTTTAAATTTAGAACTTTTGTTTATTTATTTTAATTGTGAAGAATTTTTAAGATAGTATGAATTAATGACAAAAATAAGAAAAACAAGATAATCTCAAAATTGAATGAACAGATAACAAAAGGAAAACTATTAAATATTAGTTTTTTTTTTTTGTCAATATTTAATTGATTATTTGTTACATGTTAAAAATTAACTATATAGATATGAAAAAAATTATTTTAAATGATTATATGGCTGAACAATGTACCACTAAAGAAAAGAAGAAAAAGTTTGTGATCTCACTGAGTTCTATGTCAACATTATAATTTATTTTTTTTTCTTTTCATATTATTGTACCAGTAATCTTTAACTTTATTGTATGTTCATGAATCATTTAATTTAAATAGAATCTTTCTATATATAATGATTTTTTATTAATAAATGTAAAAATTAAATTGAATTATATCAGTTTGTAACTTCTGTCCTCATAATTTTTCCATATATAAAAATTTAAACAATAAATGAAAAAAAAATTTTTTTCATTGATCATTAAAATTAAAAAACTTGTAACTAAATACTTGACCAAGTTGAATGAATGATCTTACACTCACTAGGAAGCTAAAGACTCATTATTTAACATAATAAAAAATTGCATATTGTTGTTTGTTGATAATTTACACTTATAATTGATAAATTAATATTTGCTGTTAATATTCCAATTTTTGGAATAAATTGACAATCTTATAGTCATTAGAAAGCTGAAGTTCCATCATCCATTATACTGAAAAATTACATACTGTTATTATGTATACTTTAAAGATTGCCAACAATTTTAAACATCAATTGCTTATGTTAAAATTCTTTGATTATCATCCTCAAAAAAGATGATTCATTGTCATCATTTGCTATTTGTTGCTATAACAACTACTGATTGATGGATATTCATAATAACCATTGATGAAACTTTAATCGATATAAAGTCAGAAATATAAAATGGTCACTAACAAAATACATTTTAGTTTTTGCTGAATCCCATCTACATAAATTAAATTTCTATAAAATAGATTTTCGTAAACCTCTCTAAAACTTATTAGCCAATACCCCCATAAAGTAATGACCATATGAAAGCTTAAACTATTCTACACCTTCTCATTTACTATCAAGTCTTTTAAAGCAATATTGAGAAATAATCTGAGGTTTGAAGTGAAAAAGCAATACCGTTTTTGAATAGCTGTGAATTCATGCAGAGAAAATCTCTTGGTATGAAAGAGTATTGATTAGAAAGCTTTAATGGAATACTTTCATTTTACTCTAACAATTAAGTTCAATTTTATTATAAAAATAACGAGATATTTTAAAAAAACTTCATGGGACACGAATTTCGAATTTATTTTCACATATTAATATAAATTTCAATCTGCAATTTGTTAGCATTTTAAAAAAGACATATGTCCATCCAAATTGTTTTACAGATATCTGGATTGGTCATCCACAGATTGCATCTCTAATTCAGAACAGGAAAGACTCAAGTTGCACATACTTTATGCATTGCAACATGACCTCATTACATTCTTTTGGTTTGCCTTTTTTATAGCATAGTGGAATTTCATAATTATCATGAATGTGACTTAAAATATTGATATTTTTTATATTGTGTAATGGTAATTTTAAAGTACTTTTCAATTGGATGTTTGATCTTAATGTGATGTAAAAACTTTTTATCAAAATTGTCAAACCAACTTTATAGCTATATTCTTCGTATTTTTTTTATATTATCAACTTCCTTCCATCACTTTCCATCACTTTCCTGGAGGAGTTAGCTAAGAACCAAAGTTTATAAGAAAGTAATAGTTAAAGAATATATAATATTGGTATACATTAATTTTGGTGACTTTTAACCCATTATAATGAGTATTTTGTTTTTATCATATTATCAAAAACATCAGCAAGGTATTTGTTTTGTTAATATTGATATTAATATTAAAATATTTATGTTTTTATTATTTTTGAAATAATACACTTCAAGATCAATAAATTTATTTATTATATATAGTTATTATAGGGAAGCATTTTTAAGATTTTACACATTAATTACTCCTTTCAAATCCTTGGGTAATATTGTTCATGTTTGATTAATAAAATCCTCACAGATAATTATTATAGTTTTTAGAAGCAATATGTTTCAAAGTCAATGTTTTCAAACTCCAAATTTACTACTACTTCACTTTATCAATTAAGATTAAGGTTAATTCTTTATTTAAATATTATTATAAATTAATTTTTAATGAATACATGATACCACTAATTATAATTTATGCTATTTATTGGTGATAATATCACCAATTTATTAGATTGTCTATTGCTATTTGTAATTCACCTAAAGTATTATGAGAATTATCAGAGCCAATATTTGGGTTATTGTCATCATCATCATCATTCTCATCTTGCGGGTTATCAATTTCTATATTTTCTGTAATTGTATTCTTGTCTTTATTTAAATTTTTTACAAACTTTTTAACATTTTCATCAATTCTTTTTTTATAATAATTTTCACAGTATCTGCAGACTCTTTCCAATGTGTTATAACATGTTAAATGATAATCATGTTCACAAACTAAACTATTACATCATCAATATTATTAGAAAATGCTTCTTTTACAATGATCACAAATATTAGGAGATGGTATACATGATGTATGATAACCAGTTGGTAAACATTTTATATCCACAATGCAATTAAGTGAAGCTAAATAATATGGGGATGATTTCTTTGAAATGGGTGGATTAACTTGATCAGGTTGAAGCATATAACTTTTGCCAATATTTTTATAATTTCTTGGAAATAAGATAACAAAAATATACTGGTTTTTTTAACAAGAAATTCCAGCTGAATAGGCTTATATGGGTAAATATATGGTTTTTTAAAAGTGTCAACAAAAACTGATTTATGGGGATCTAAAGGAGTTCATTAAAAAATTATTAAGTTCATTTTCTTAATGTTTGTATTATATACATATGTACATATATACAAATGCCTGATTAATAATTGGTTCTGCATTTTGATTTACATTAATATTATCACATAACCTGCTGTGAAAATTTTCAACATAATATTCATTGAAATTAACAAGATGATTCTCCAATGCATTTGCAAATGAATGTTGGCTTTCTTTCTAATATATGTAATCTGAAATAAATGCCAGTATCTTATTATAATTTTTTCTTTTTTATCTAAGAGCAAAAGTCCAGATTCTAAATAATGTTACTAAATATTTAATATTAACATAAATATCATTCAATGAAGCATCAATCAATATAGTATTTTGATTATTTAAATTGTCTAATAAATTCTTAATGGTAAAAATATTATTTTGTTCATTGATATTTTTGTTTTCAAAAGTAATGCATTTTTTCCCTTAATAGGTTCACATACTTGCAAATAATGAGGAGAACATAACTGTGATTCATTAACTATCAAATAATCAAAATTAGAAAAAGTTCCAGAATTAATTGATCTTGTATAAACAGTTTTATTAAAGTTTCTGTAAGGGCCTGAATTTTCACAACCAGTAACTAAGCAAGGACCTTGATTAGAATTGTGAGGCATCTTTAAAAAAAAAATTGTTTATTATATAATTATAAGTTAAATTATTTTACATTGTATTTTCCGTAACGTGATAATTTCGAATGTTGATCAAAAACAAAATTCCACTATTATATACTATTACTATGCTCCCCTACAAAAAGTATCAACTCACTTGATGATCCGCAAAAATAATTGAATAAACGGGTAATACAAATACTCGTTTCGAAAAGGTAGCTTTTAAGATACAATGTTTTAACACATCTTTGGGAGCTTAGAAATGTTGTTCTCAAATGTATATATATATATGTTCATAATTATTGATCGAATATTCATGGAGAATTAATACAAAACGTAAAAAAATCGGAATGAATTTTTATGCAAGATGATTATCATTATGCGTGAACAAACTTTAAAGGGCAATTGCGGTTGAAATATCTAACCAAAACTAATTTTTTTTTTAAAAAAAAAATGATTGAACTTTCAATTGTGTTATTTCAATTAAAACATCATGTCTCAATTAACAGACTTTGAATGATTGGACGTTGGGAAACAGATGAAAGCACTTGTGACATTGCTGGTGCACTCGATCATTCTCAGTCACAAGTAACTCGTGCAATAAAAGCATTTAATATCAAACTACTTATCGCTCCCCAAAAAATACAAATGAATTGATTTCTTATTTGATGGGTGAGTGAGCAAATATTGATCGTGATTATTTGTAAAAATTAGTAGACAACATTCCTTGAAGGGTTCAAGCTGTAATTGAATCAAAAGGAAATCCGACAAAATATTGAATAAATGAATGAAATGTTATATTTTTTTGATACTTTTGATATAAATTTAATAAAGATTTTATTATGTAAAATTATTATACAAACTGTGGATGAAAAATTATTTCGTTATTTTTACGTTTTACATTAATTCTTCATGAATATTCAAAACACCACCGAAAATAAAGTAACCAAGAAGTTGCAACCAATTGCAGAATTTCAAATCAGTAACTTTATATAGAAGGCTGAGGTTATATCTGGTGGCCTTGCCCTCTTTGTTGCCCCGCCACTTCTAGAAAGAAAAGCTTGTTGGATAAGATCAAATTATCGGTTAAGAGATTCAATTAATAATCTATTAAAGGGGCGGTGCCATATCAGTGAAAAACAACGATTTTATATGGTTGGACATTACATGGTATATCTTGAAGTCAGAATATATATCGACTAGTGTTGGTCCCCAAAACTAAATTGAAATGTTATATGTTGTAACTAAGGTTGTGGGCGAAACCTCTTAATGACTGTCGAAACTCTGTCGAAACTCTAATGAACAATTAATGTGTAACCTGTCGAAACTCTGTCGATTGATTTCTGGAGGAGTTTCTCCCGCAACCTTAGTTGTAACTAAATCAAAAATCAAATGTCAAGTGTGGTTTCGATTTATTATTATGACAAACTTTTTGACTTTTATACAGTTGCGAAACTTAGCCATTCGAACTTATTCTTTGATTTGTTTTACTTATCGCAGGCTTTGATAGTTTCACAATTTCATACATTGATGCTTAGTAAATAGACTTCAATCGTTCAACCATAAAATTGTTTTTAATGAACATATATAAAGTTCTTATATTTTCAGGATAACCTTTTCTACTTTTCTTTTAATAAAAGAACTATTTAAAAGCTTTTGCTTCTGAACAAGTTTTGACTTGATGAACCTTATTCATGCATAGAAATAATTAATTGTAACAATTACGACCTAAAAGAAATTTTTTTTTTAATTTTTAAATCTTTTAAGAATGGCGACTATAGAAGAAATTAGACAAGAATAAGAATGGATTATGAGAAGGGAGTGAAGAAATTGGAAGTTTTTGAGGGGAACTTGAGGACACACAAAAGAAACAAGGTAGTTGTTCTATAATTCTAAATTAATAATTTTGTATGATATCTTTATTTACATATTTATTTATTTATTTATTATTAGATAAATAGGAAAGAAACAAACAATTATTGTTTAATTAATAATTTTATATAATATACATCTATTTCGTGGATAATAATAAATTTGTATAATATGTATATATCTATTTATCTATTTCATGGATAATAGTCATTCTATAATTATTGTTAAATTAATGGTTATTAGATGACGTGAATAAAAATTTGCTTCCAATATCTATTTGATAAAAACTTGTATATTTTTTTATAATTGGTTAAATACTGGGCTAGCAAGAATTTCCTCGACTTTTTGTGTAATTTATTCGGGCAAATTTCGTGATAAAATCAAAATATGATCTACAAAAATCATTACCAATTTTAGAATGTCCTCCATGCTACAAATATGCAAGCCTATAAGTCTATATTAAATATGTAATAAAATAAAATAAAATTTTAATGGATAATTCCTCAAAATGACAACATGGCCGAGTGGTTAAGGCGTCAGACTTGAAATCTGATTCCCATTGGGAGCGCAGGTTCAAACCCTGCTGTTGTCGTCAAAATTCTTTTCTCTATTTATATAAAAAAGAATAATAAAAATACATTTTTTTTTTTTTAACATTGCAAACATATATTTATTAATGAATTACAGATTTTTTAATAATATAAAATTATTTTACTATAATACTAATAGTAATTATAATAATTATTTTTTTTTTTTCATGTAGTATTTTTATTAATTTTTATAATAATTCTATTGGTAGTTGGTACAGTGGTTGTAGAAGATTCCGACGGAATATTATTACTATTATATAATGGACATTTCTTGTTTGTTTTCATATGACCTAAAGCTCCACAATTTCCACATCGTCTCTAAGAAAAAGGTAATCAATTAATAACAAGCAGTAAGTAAACAAGCGATAATAATAATGATAAATGTAATTATAATTGTAAATGCTTGCCACTGTTGTTTCAGTCTTCTTTTCTTTAACGATAGATGATGCAGAAGTAACGTTACCAGCAGCAGATAATTTGGCAGCTTTTTTAGCTTCACGAACAGCCAGACGTTGCTGGCGTCTCTCTTGATTTCGTTTTAATCTAGCCAACTGATCTTGAATTCTAATTATATAATTATATTATAACAACATGAGTATTAAATATTTATTTATTTTTTTTAAAAAATTGTTAATGATTTACCTCTTTTTTAATCGTTCGTTTCTTTCTTCATCATTGGTTGGCTCCAACGTTTCAGTACTATAAAAAAATTCCATTATTATTATTATTGTCATCATAATTATTAAAAAAAAATAGGATGACTAAATTTTGATTTTTTTGTTCTTTACTTTAATGTTTGTTCTTCAATAACTTGTCTTTGACGAATATACGCATTAATTACTGAAGGATCAGTTATATATTCTTTTGTCCACCTTTTTTCACCATTATCTGACCTTATCTACACTCAAAAATTTTCTTTAAAGATGCATGAATAGATATATAAATGATATAGAAAATAGATATAGATGAACATACCGAACGATTTATCACCAATGCTCTGTTTCGATGAGAACTACAATCATAATTTGTACGTGAAGTTATACTACCATCTACAGATGTTATATCATCATAGTCCATCATTGATTCTGGTGATTGTGTTTGATCTGGCATTGCAGATTCCATTAAATCATTCATTTCCACATTTTCCATATCCACATCACTATCAAC